GGTCGTCTAGTGATCAGTGCCAGGAGCTGAACAGCGCCAGTGGGGAGGGGCTTGCAGACCCTGCAGGCTCCATGACTCCTGCCCACCTTTAGGCCGCCCAGGTCTCCACACTCCCCAGGGAACAAAGAATCGGTGACAAGGGGCACAGCAAGGGCTGATGTTCTGGCTCCTGGCAGCAGGAAAGTTTCAGGGAGCTCCCCCTGACCCCTGTGGAAGCTGGGTCATGAATCCCCCAGAATCAGTCCAGTGGGAAGGTCCAAGGGCACACCTTGGCCAGCCCAGCCCGGAGTCCCTTCCGTAGTCACCTCCCTCATTTTCCCCACCAGCAGCTGAGCCAGGAAATGACGCTTCCCTCCCTTGTGGCTCCACTCCTCATCACTGCAAACCCCGGTATTAATTTAATTACACGCTTGTCTTTGAGAGGCTGGGGCTTGGAGGCGCCCAGTGGGATCATGAGTTGCCCGAGGCTGCTGGGAAGGATCGTCCTGCTAGGGAGCCAGGACCTTCCCCGGGGTCTCCTGTCCCCCTGCCTCCCCCGGCCCCCCCCCCCCCCCCCCCCCCCCCCCCCCCCCCCCCCCCCCCCCCCCCCCCCCCCCCCCCCCCCCCCCCCCCCCGCCAGGGTCCACCTTGCTCACATTCTTCCCCACTGCAGGGCACCTGCTCTGACCCACAAGTGACCAGGTATCTGGCTCCCCAGCTCCTGGCGGTGTGCAGAGCCTAGTTTGGGGAGCAGAGTGTGGGTTGGGGTCTGGCGTGGCAGGGGAGGCTCATCTGGGACTTCCAGGAGGCAGCCTCGAAGCCTGTTAAGCTCTGCAGGAATGGGCGAGCTTGGGGCTGGGCCTGGGTCTCGGGAAAGGCCCCCAGACCGGAGCTGGGAGAAGTGAGCAGAGGGTGGCTGGTGGGGCCCGCCTATCCAGGCCATCCTCCTGGCCACTCTTCTGCCTCCCTTGGACTAAAAACTTCACTGACATCAATGTGAAGGCTTTTTTTTTTTTGCAATGTGAAGGTGCAATAATTTAATCTGTTCTCCTTCTTTATAAAAGAAAGATTTCTCCCTATTCTAGAAGTAGATTATTTGAAAATTAACAAGAAATGGTGTGAATAAATAAAAAATAACTTGTTCCCTTATATGAGCAACATCACTGTCAATGTTTCCATGTGCCTCCTCCCTGAATTTACTTCAACGCATAGATGTTTTTAAACAGCAATTATATGTATAATTTTTTGTCCAGTTCTTTCCACTAGTGTTACGTGTTTTTTCGTATTGTTGAGGAGAGAAGCTCTTACCAAACATCGTTTGAATGACGACAGGGTGGAACTCTCTGCTATTGTTGGACAAGTGGTTGTTTCCAGTTTGGGCTGCTGTAAGGCCGTCTGCATTCTTCATAGTGAGAGTTGATTCTTTAGGATAGGTTCCATTGGAAGCACCGGATGATTTAAAATATTTTAAGACTCTTATATTGTTCTTTTGAAATTGGAATGAAAAAAACCAACAAACCCTGGGGTCTGAAGTGTACTTTGTTCTCTGCAGCTGCTTGGGGTTTGGGGGTAAACCCAAACAGACGAGTTGAGTGGGGGGAGCTCCTTGGTCTGGGGCCATGGACGTGGCCTCTGGTCTGTGCCCAGGTGTGGCCTGTTAGGAGGCCTGTGGGCTGTGGCCTGTGGGCCCTGAGGTCTGGTGCTGCCGGTGGGCAGGTGGGGTGTTGTTGGGTCCTTTGTGGCATGGCCTATGTCCCTTACCCTGGTGCTGGCTCTGTCCCTGCTCTTTTCTCTCATCTGCCGTCCTGGGACGTGAGTGTTGGACCCGGCTGTGGCCGAGGGAACCGCTGGCTCACACAGGAGCAGTGGCGTGCCCAGCTTGCTCGCTGTACGGTGAGGATGCTGAGGCTGGTCGGCATGTCTGTGGCCTCTGGTCCCAGGCCGTGACTCTGACTGTGCTCTGACTGAGAAGGGAAACGCTGCTAGCTCCTGGCTCACCCTATAGAAATGGCAGGGGGAGACAAAACCGTCCCCATAGCCAGGAAACTGGGCGGGCAGCATGCACACCTTTGGAATGGCTCTGCTGCTGTACAGGGCAGTATGTGAATTAGTGACCCGACTCAGGCCACTGGTCACACGCGTGGCTGGATCATCCACTGGGGTTCAGGGCTGTGTCTGGGAGTGCTGGCCTGTGGTGGGGCTGTGGTGAGCAGGGGGCCTGGCTGTGCCCGAGGACGGGCAGTAATGGAACATCCAGGAGAGAGGCTTGACCAAGAACCGCGTCTTCTTTCTGGGAGCCTCTGCCAGCTTCTCTCAAGGGCATGGTGCTGTCAGTTCTGCTCAGAGTGGCCAGATGCTCAGGGTGCTGAGCACTGACCTGTGGGGTTGGGCCTGCATGATGGGGAGAGGGGCTGGAGGGCTGGGCCCTGGATCCCCTTGCTCACTCGCCAGTAAGTGGGGACACTGCTCCTCATGGCCTCCTGATCTGGAAAATGGGGTGATGCCTGCCTGGCCTTTGCAGGGCTTCAATGAGGTGCCAGATTCAGGGGCTGCCGTGCATCACACACGGTGGTGGGGTCTCCCCTCCACCGCCTACCTGACCAGGGGTCGTGGTTTCTCAGGTCTCCTGGTCTTCCCTGTAAGGACGAGAGGGCTGGGAGGGTCTATGGAGTTTATAGTGTCCACCGTTTCCCACTGGGCATGCCAGGGAACCCTCTTGTTAACAGTGTGCAGGGCACACTAGGGTTGGGGAGTCCAGGCTGCACCCCGTCTCCCTCCCTGTGCTCAGAGGGGCCTAGCCCACCTTGAACACTGAGGCCTTTCCCGTCTGGCCTGTTTGCATGGGTGGGACGTGGGGACTCCTTGTCAGTTTTGGCTGATTAATGAGTAAACGGGCTGGGGACGGGCATGGGGGTGGACTATAGTGACTGCTGGCCAAAGAATGGTGTGAGCCAGGCCTTTTTAGATCTGGAGCCACCAGCCTGGCCCCACCAGCCTGGACAGGGGGGATCTGCCCAGCACTGGGCATGTGCACAGGGTCCGAGTGGGGAGGCCTTTGGGGTCAACCCCTGGGGTCCGATCCCACAGCGGCTGCCGCCCTGCATTGTGCCGTGAACAGGCCACGTCACCTCTTGAAACCTGGAGTCGTCAGCTGTGAGAGGGAGCTGTACGGGGCCAGGGGAGGCGAGGCTGGTGTGGGGAGCACCTGGCCCCCAGCAGGGCTCCCGGCAGAACTGCCCTGTGGCTACTGGTGTCATCCCTGGGGGTGAGGGTGGACCGGCCTGGCGGGGAGCTGCCCTTCTCCCTCTCTAGGAGTCTCCGCATTCCTGAGAGGTGACTGATGTGGACGGGAGCGGGGAGGAGTCGGTTGTGTAATTCCCCAGTAGTGAGTGTGTGGGGCCGGGCCACCCCCATTCCTGCCAGGGGCTGAGCCACTGCTCCTGGGCCTGGTCCAGGGCTGGGTGGATGGGGCTCCTGAGGGTCCTTCTAATGTACTTGGGGAACACAGTGACCCACAGCAGGCAGGTTGAGGGACAGACAGACACCTGTGCGGGCAAGCTGCCTCCCATACCTGGGGGGCGGCCTCAGAGGACAGCGTTGCTGATGGGCAGGAGCATGTGAGGCCTGGGCCAAAGGTCATGGCATTTTGGGAGGGGGCCACCCATGGCCCCATCCTCACCGGAACCAGTGGACTCCTCATCTGCCTGAGGGCTCTGTGGTGGAGGGGCATGACTTCTGTGTCATACGTGAGGACACGAAGGACCTGGGGCTCGTCTGGGGTTGCGCCAGCCGTGCTCTGGGGGTGGACAGATGCTTCATTATTCCCACAGTTGCATAATGGTCCCAGCTTGTCCTCTGGCAGCACCCAAGCCGCTTTGCCCACACAGGGGTGTTACAAGCCCCATGGGGTCCATTCCCCAAGTCCCCGGAGGTGGCGTGTAGGGGATCAGACAGCTGGCTTTGGTTGAAGGTCTGGTGCCTTCTGAGATAAAGCGTTGGCTGTGTGGTCTGGGAAGACCCTGCCTCCTGCTGGCGGGCGGGCAGGTACAGCAGGAGGAGCAGTGACCAGCCTGGGGCCAGGTGAGCTCTAGCCAGGTGCTCCTGTGGACAAGTGGTGCCTAGCCCGTCCCTGACAGGAGGCTGCAGACCACCTGGGGGAGGCGCCTGTGTGTCTGGTCTGGGACTTGACTTTCCTCCCACCTTTCCTCCCTCCACACCTGCATCTGCCCCATACCTGCACCTGCTGTGATGGTTTGGTCCCCTTGCCGGCCCTGCCCTAACCTTCCCTGCCTAACCTTCCCTCCGCCTCCCTCCCCTTGACCCCTCTGCCCTGGGTCGCCCTTGGCCTCCACCCAGGCAGGCTCCCTTGTCCTGGCCTGGAGTGACCTAGTCATCACTTTTCTCCTCTGAGCTGATTTCCGGTCTGATGGGGAGGCAGGACCAGGACTCTGGGTGGCTGGGGTGGTGGAATTTTGCCTGCTGTCGGATGTGATTATGAATCGGGGTCAGCGTGGCGAGGGAAGGTGGATTTCACCCCCTGCTGCATTCAGAAACTAGGGGCACGTGGTTGGAGTGTGTCTCCCTGGCCTGGCCTAGGGCGTGGCTCCTGACTGCTCTCTTCTGTGAGTCCTGCAGGAAAGGGGGTGGCTTACCTGTGCTGTGTGCCCCCTCTGCAAAGTCATCAGGCAGGGTGCAGCAGGGGAACCCCAGACGCTGACTTGGCATGCTTAGGAGCCTCAGTTTTCCCACTGTGTGGGGGGGGGGTTCCTTGGACCCCAGGTCCCGGGGCCAGCTGCCTCCTGGTGTGAGGGTCCCATCAGCGGGGTGTTTGGGGGAACGTGAAGCATTGCAGAGGCTGAAGGCATTGGCCCAGGACAGGCTGGTGAGGAAGCCCCTCACTTCCTTTCTACAGGTCCTGGAAACCGAAGCTCAGGGCCCACCGAGGGGGTGTGGGGGAGGTGGGCTCTCCCGCTGGAGATGGAGTCTGTGATGGTTAATGTGGCCCCCTCGTGTCGTTACAGATCCCTCGTCCACCTACATCAGGCAGCTGGAGACCAAGGTGAAGCTGCTGGAGGGTGACAAGATCCTTGCACAGGTAGGCCTGCTGTGGGCGCACTGTGGGGACCGTGCCTGCTGCACCTGAGGGCCAGCGTGGGCCCTGCCACCCCCCACCGCTCCAGTGCCACCCCGTCCCCAGCTTACCTGGGGCTCCCTTCCCCCTTCACAGCCGTAATCTCCCGCCTGCCCCCCACTCCCGCCCGGAGTCACCTCCTGGAACGCTGAGGACACAGACCTAATCCTCACTCCACGGCCTCCAGGGCTTCCCTCCATCACAGCCTGTCACCGTCTGCCCCTCCAGTGGTCTATGAGCTTCTTAGGGGCCAGCAGTGGGCCTGTCCCAAAGATGGTGTGGAACACACAATTGCTGGAGAAATGGGCTGCTTAGCTCCCCTGCAGACAGGCAAATCAAGGCCCAAGAGGTGGGCTGCCATGCCCTCACTCAGACCCACACAAAACCTCCCCATTCCTCTCCAGGCTGGGGTCCACCCTCCTCCCTCCTGGGCCTGGCCAGTGCCCACAGACAGATGAGGCCATGCCTCATCCCCAGCATGTCCCCAGACAGGGATGGCAGGTTAGAGACTCAGGGATGAGCGCAGTGCAGGGAGGAGGTGGTGCAGGACAAGAGGCAGAGCGGGGGGGACGGGCCTCTGTGCTCTTGCTGAGTGTGGCTGGAGCATGGAGGGGGCGTGACTGCCAGGACCAGGGGCCTTCCTTACTGTGGGTAGCAGTGATGGGAGGCTGTGGTCAGCCCTGGTTGGGGTGCCTGGGGGCCAGCTGGCTTGGCCAGCCCTCCACCCTCCCTTGTATCCATCTCTGGCTTAATGTCCCCTCCTCCTCCCCTGCAGTGCCCCTGGCCCATAAGCATCCAGCCGGGATGCCCAGAGCGTTTCTCTGGGAACCAACCCTAGGGAGGACTCAGCTGCCTGGCCCCGTTGCTAGGCAACCAGGGGGCTTGGTGCCACTGCCTGACTCCGGAAGCCTCAGCACCCTCTGCCTGCTGGGCGGCTGCTGGGAGGCTCATGGCCCCAGGCAGGGAGCACATGACCCGCCCCTGCACGGCCGCATGGACGGTTTCCACAGCCCTGCAGCACTCCGCAGAGTACGCCGTTCACGTTTGGGTTCCCCCTCTCTCCTCCACACCCCACGGCCACCACACCCAGACCCAGGTGTGTAGCCAGGCGTTGAATTGCAAGGCCAGGTTTATAACTGTATATGTCAGTTTAAGGTCCTGTTTGGCAGAAGAGTTTGGCCACAAGACGTGCTGGCCCCTTGGGGCTATGAGGGCGGGGAGGGGTTGGGGTCTCCCCTGGCTGTGGGCTGGGGCTCCTTAGACCCAGACATTACACGTGGGCCTGACCTGGGCCGGGAGTGGTTTACGGGAGAGTGTGGGTGGCTGCAGGATGTAGATGGAAATGATGTGGGTGGCGGGGGCACATGAGGGCTCGGGGCCTTTGGTTTGGAGCAGGTCCCCATCCAGCGAGTAGGAGAGTTGCCTACTCCAGCCACCGTGCAGCAGTATGAAGGCCAGGCACATGTTCCCGTGGCTGAAGCCTCGGGCTGGTGGGCTCAGCGGGCTTGCGAGTCTGTCCCGATCTGGCCATTCTTGTTACATTGTTCCCGGGGAGAAGCAGGCTGAGAGCTTAAGCCCCGGATTCAGGTTGCTGTTGGCAGTGTTGTGGTCCTGTCTCCACCAAGATGGGAGTCTCCCTGACCCCATGGCCCCTGCTGTCCTGGGCTACATTGTCCCACTGGGAAAATACCGCCCAGTTGCAAGTGGTGGACCTGGCTGTGGACTTGTGGGAAACATGTGCACACTCAGGCCGTGGAGTGGCAGCCTTTCCTCCCTGTGGGCACACCCTAGTCTCACGAGGGAGCCCTCCATGGCTGTGTCCACTTGCTCCACAGCCACATGTGCAGAGGTGGAGGTGGACAGGGGCCCTGTGTTTGGGGCATCAGGGAGATGCCCAGACGCCTCCCACCAAGCCTGCTCTGACCGGCTCCCGGGGGTTAGACCTGGGGCCTTGGCCTAAAGGCAGCAGTAGGATTCTATCCCCAACCTGTGCGCACGCCTGGGCCGGGCACGGATATCCTGATGGGGTCAGATGGGGGGATGCAGACCCTCGCCCGGACCCAGGCTTGCTGGCCGTAGGTAGTTAGATTGGGATTTCAGGACGAGAGTGCACCTTTGCCCGGCTTCTTGCTAGTACAGGAGAAGCGCTGGGAACTGAGACCACCCAGTGCAGAAATGTCCCAGCTGTCTGAGTTCTCTGGTGGAACTTTTATTCCTCCCACGACAAAGCCTTGTGGAGCCAAGCCGCTCTGGTGGTAGCCGTGTGTGCTTGTGTGTGTCATGGGGGACAGGACACCCAGGTCCCATCTCTGTCTTTTCCTCAGTAGGGACTCTGCTGGCGGGCCGCGGTCTTTCCCAGGGTCTCCCAGTGAGTGGGTGTCAGGGCTACACCCAGCATCTCGAGAAGGGGGCAGCGTGTGGTGCTGGGGCCTTGGCCCCCCGGGTGCATAGCCTGCCTGCCTTCGTCCCCTGGCTGCAGCAGAGGCACTAGCCCTCAGCCTACAGTCAGCAAAAGCACCCAGGGGCCAGCAGCATTGGCAGAGCATCTCCAGGGCCATGGATGGGGCTCCTGCTGCCCCTGTCACCTGCCGCCCCTGTCACCTGCTGTTGCCAGAGCTTGGCCTTGAGGGTGGGTGGGTGTTGCTGGTGTGGAGGAGGGCACTGCTGTTCTGAGCCATGCAGGAGAAATGAGAGACAGAGAGGCAGGGAGAGAAGGCTCTCCCCCCACCACCCCACAGGCCTGCTCAGGGCTTCCTGGTGGCAATTCATACCTCGCTTGCCTTTGGATTCCTAGGGTGGCTCATATGGCACCAGCTTAATGAGGATCCTAAGCCACTTCCTCTCCCCCAGTCTCCATTTGCTCGCCTGTAAAATGGGCACTCACTCACTGTGTGTGATTGGTCCCCTGCTGTGTGCACAGCCCTGGGGTGCAGGAGTGACAGGCAGAGGCCTGCCCTCAGGGGGCTCGCCATCCAGTCTCACTCTTGTGACTGCCTGACCACCTCCTTGTCCCAGCCAGCAAGACTCACGTGCACAAGGGGGCTGCTGGGGGACAGCAGAGGTGGAGAGAGCCTCCTGGCCAGGGCTCGGCCCACGATGAGAGTACTGGCCTCATTCTAAGGAGGTGCAGGGAAGATGGCGCTTACTTAATCTTCTTCCTTCTGGCCTCCTGCAAGTCATGGGCCCCCAGCTCGGGCACAGCCTCCTGCAGACAGCATTCCCCAGCCCCACCAGGTGGCTCGGCACTAGCTCTGATCTCTCAGCCTGTGGGCTGCCCCCCTCCCTTGCTGATAGGGTGTGGTGGTCCTCCCTTGGGGAGCCTGGCCCCCACCCCTGCTGGACTGTCAGCTACTTAAACACTGGGCTGCAGAGTCTGAGTGCTCACATCTGTGTCTCACATGTTCAGCATAGGTGGACTGGGTGGATGCATCTTGGGGAGCCCCTGGCTGCCCTCCACCCAGAGTCTTAGACCAAGAGGGGAGGCTAGTTCTTGCCCAGAATAAGGAAGGACTGCTTAACCAAGGGAGTGAGGTAGTGAGCATAGCATCTTGGGAGGTAATCAAATGATGAATGGATGACCATGTTTGGGAATCTTGAAGAAAGAGATTGGTGCTGTGGGTGGGATTCTGGCCTCAGCCTCACGGGCTCTGGCTTATGAGATTTTATGATTCTGGCACTTAAGTCTTGTCATTGAAATCATATTGCACAGAAACCTCCAGCTCTGTGCAGAGTGGGGAATCTGCCTGTTGGCGAAAAGCGGGAGAGAGCAATATTCTTCTTTGAACTATCTTAAGGGGGTGTGGCTTTGGGGTTTGGGTGGGAGGGCAGGGAGCCTCTGTGGATTCCCACTGCCCCACCCCCTCCCCCCATGGCCTCTCTTTAACTCCAAAATAGCTTTAATTAAAAACGTGCCAGAGTGTTCACTGACTAAATTACTGTATAGCAGCTCGTATTTTCTTTCTCATGTCGGCTTTAAAATTTCATCAACACAGCTGCTCCCTCTGCGATGATTCATCTTGAGCCCCCATGCACGTTATTATTTTTCCTGTGGATTCTCTGTGCCCGGCCAGGCTGAGATAGGGGTGGCTGTAATTGATGCCGGGGCCTCTGCTCTGTCTTTCCCTGGGTTCCTTCGCCCGCTGGGCTGATAAATGAAGTCTCCGTGTGTGCCCAGAAGCCAGCTTTACAAAAGAGCAAGAAGCAGGGCCGATGCTGCCTCACACTGGGCGACGGGTGGCCCTCTGGGGGAGTGGAGGCAGTGGTCCAGGCCAGGACTGTGAACAGCCCTAGCCCGCCACCTCCTCCTCGCCCCTGTGCCTGCTCTTTCCCGCATCCTGCCATGCCACACAGGGTGGCCGAATGCTCAGGTTGGAAGTGACCCCAGGATTTACACCCAGCACAGATGGGGAAACTGAGGCCTGGGCAGAGGAGGCTCTCCTAGCACGGGTGATATATTAGTTTGTGAGGGCTGCCATAACAAAGAACCAGACACTGGGCAGCTTAAACAAGTGAAATGTGTCGCCTCACGGTTCTGGGGGACAGAAGTCCGAGATCAAGGTGTGGGCAGGGTTGGTTCCTTCTCAGGGCCGTGAGGGAAGGGTCTGCCCCAGGCCTTTCCTTGGCTTATAGATGGTTGTTGTCTCCCTGTGTCTTCACATGGTCTTCCCTCTATGCATATCTGTATCCCAATTTCTCCTTTTTATGAGGACACCAGTCATATTGGATTAGGGCCCACCCTCATGACCTCATTTTAACTCAGTTACCCCTTTAAAGACCCTTCCCCAAATAGGTCGCATTCTGAGATAGTGGGGGTTAGGGCGGCAACATATGAACTTAGAGAGGGGCGCAGTTCAACCTGCAGCAATGCTGCTGTTGGCTGATGGTGTAAGAGAGTAAGTTTGGGCCCTGAGGGATCTGGGTTCAAGGAATCCCGGCTCCGTGACTGCCCTGCTGTGTGGCTTTAGGCAGACACCTTATGTCCTGCTGCCTCAGTTTCCTCACCTGTCAGAGGGGCTGACGGTGATGCCCACTGCATTGCACCCTGCTGGCCAGAACCCGCACCTGGGGAGTGCCTCGGACAGTGCCTGACTTCTCACATTTTCCTGGTCTGAGGACCCTGGAGTTTTCCAGGTCTGGCCGACTGTGCCCACCTGGCTGGTGGCTTGGGCCTGGCCGTCCCCAGGTGAACCGCTCCTCTCTGTCCTCCATCTGAGTGTTGACCCATCCGGGCTGGGGGAGAGAGGAACACTCTGCAGCCCTCTAAGCCCGTTGCTGGTGCCCCGATTCTGTTTCCCAAGTCCCCAGCGAGGATGGGCCATTCTGGTAGCGGGTTCCCTTGCCCCAGCCCTCGGAGATGGTGGCCTCATGGTATTTCTCTGGTGGTGCTCTCCGGCATCTTCCATAATGTGCAGCCTAGTTGACAGGCTCTGGGCTGTCCCGACTGTTTGGTGTCTGGGTTTGGCTGTCACGTCCCTGCCCCTGTCCTGGGCGGCGTGGTCTCTGGGGGGCTTTAAATGCTTCGTTAGCAGAACCTTAGAACCAGTCCAGCCTCTTCCTCAGCCAGGGAGGAAGCTTCCTCTTTCCAGCATCTGAGCAGACGGTCAGTCTAGCAACGTGGGCAGAAAGAGAGACTAGGAATTCCACCTCTGTCCCCTATGCCTGGGGCTTAACCAGTGTCCACTGTGAGCCACACGCTGGGCGAGAGTCAGCGTGGCGAGAGGCCCAGCCCAGGACTCCTGGTCCAGGCCGGAAGTCCTGGTTCAAATCCCTGAAGTGCCGCTTACCAGCTGGGTGGTGTTGGGCCAGTGGCTAAACCTCTCTGTGCCTCAGTTTTCCCATCTGTAAAATGGGGACACTAATGGTGCCTGCCCCAGGATTAAAGAGCAAGTTACAGAAAGTGCTGAGGGCCGGGGTTGGCTGGCCGTCTGGGTTGTGGGTCAGCCTCTGTGATCTTGCCTGTGGGCCACCTGGCATCTGAGGGTCCTTCTTGACCCCAATTTACTTGCAAGCACACAGAGACCCGGAAAGTTGGTGAATTGCTCAGATCCACCCAACTGTGGCGGGATTTGGATTCTGCAAGTCTACCCGCCTCCAGCGTCCCCTACCTCCTTCCGCGGAGGTCCTGCGGCCTGTCCCTTGCTCACTCCATCAGAACAAGCAATGGGCCTGCCCAGGGGACCTATGAGGGGGCGCTGGTCACTGTGGTGGATGAGACCCCGTCCGCGTGTTACCCGTCAGGCCCAGGCCGCGTGGTCCTGGGTGGTACACACACCTGAGTTCCAAAGATGGGATTTAGGGCCTGAAATTGCACGGGGGTCGGGGACATGGGGAATCTCCCTGCCTAATCCGAGGACCAGTTAGGAAGAGCCCTCTGAGCCTCTGGCCATGCAGCGGCCCCGTGGCTCTTAATGGCCTGCACGTGAGGTCTCTTAAAGGGAAAAAAACCAAATCTGTTGGTACCAAACAGATACTATTGTGAGGGACCTTGCTGGTCACTTTCGCCCTGAGGACAGAGCGGAGGCCAGTCGGGGTGCATTCTGACGCAGCCTCTCCCTGCTGGGGTCCTGGGGTGTCTCTGGCTCGAGGCCTCTGGGAAGGGCAGCCGGGTCCTGGTGTAAGCCTCAGGAAGTGGGAGTGGGTCCCTGTGCCCGCGTGCGGTGGTCGCGGTCAGTCCTTGTTGAATCTGGAGTTCCTAAAATGTGGGGCTCCTGTGGGGCGCCTTGGGGACTCCCTACCTGTGCCCTTGGGCCCCTCACTCTGGCCCAGCCGAGGTCCTGGTGGCTTTGGGGTAATGGGTATCCAGGGGAGGGGCAGCGGTGAGGGTCATGCTGGTGTTTGTGGTGACACCTTCTCTTCCCTTCCAGCTGCCCCGCCCCTACGGCCGCCCGAGAAGCTGGCTTCAGGTAGAGCTGTGGGGCTTGTTTGCAGTGGCGTTTGGGGGAGGGGGTGCTGCTTTGAGTGCTGTGTGGTGCCTTGTCTGCTCCGGGTCCCCCCTTCACTGCCCCCCCAGCACCCTCCCACCCCTTCCTGGGAGCTGACGGCCACCCAGGGTGCACTGGGCCTGCCTTAGGTTCTTCCTGGCACCTGCCCTCTCTCTGAGCTGGCGTTAGTCTCCAGCTTTACAAAATAGCAGGAAAGGAGTCAGGAGACACAGGCCCTTCTCAGTCCCCTCTTGCTGGGTCTCTCGGCTTGTGAGGTGGGCAGGGCCGGGCAGTGGAATCCCCACTTTGCAGGGAGAACGCCGCCGTGCAGGGTGGGAGGAGGGTTTGCCAAGGCTGCATGAGTTAGTGGTGGCTCCTGCTGGCCCAGGTCCTCGTGTGGGGTTTCCGGGGCTGCCTGGAGGAAGGAAGAGCCCCAGGGGGCCCAGTGCTGGGCTCCCACCCCCACCCAGCCGTGCAGCCCTGCCCCCCTCAGAGGTAGGCATTACTGTCCTGTGTTACGGTTTTGGAGACCAGGGCTGGTAAGTGTCACTCAGGATTGGAGCCCCAGCCCCACCCTGCACCGTGAGGGCCCATGGGCTGAGGGACGAGTCCAGAGTGGCTCGGGATGGCCGCCTCTGAAGGGGGTCCTGCCCTGGTCACTGCATGCAGATTGGCTGGGGCCGTGGGTCTGCTGGTCCCAGCGGTCACTTGCAGGCTGGCTGCAGTGGGGACACTGGGCGCCCCTTGTCAGTGCTCACCCTCAAGCCCCCACCCCACAGTCCTCGCTTCACCTATCAGGTGCTGCCTCCCTGCTGGAGTGCACACAGTAGGTGCTTCTGGGACACAAAACGGCTGTCACAGATGGTCCTGAAAGCCCTTTGGGAGCAGGAAGGAGGGGTGGGAGCCGCTGCCCCTGAGTAGAGCCCAGAAAGGGGCCGGCATGCAGCTGCTGGGCCCCCAGCAAAGAGCCCGAGTGGACGGCCGGGATTGGGTGGCCTCTGTCTCCGCGTCCTGCCCTCAGTCCTTTTCAATCTCAGCACCCCTCTGACAGTGGTCCCAGGTGTATCCTGGGGTGGCCCCAGGCTTCGCAAGCTGGAGCCCCGGGGAAGGCGGTGGCTGGGGTGCTCCTGCTGCCAGGAGCCTCGCTGCAGCCCCGCAGAGGCCTGGAGAGGTAGCCTGTCTCCCCTGCGAGTCCGCAACTGGCTCTGCGCTGAGCTGCACTGCGGGACAGCCCAGGACAGAGGCCCGGGGTTTCCAGAACTCTCGGGGCCCCAGTGGACTGGGGGCCCTGCAGCCTCCTGGGTCTCTCCCTGTGGTCCAGAGCTCTCATGCTGCCCTTGCGGGGGGGGGGGGGGGGGGCAGATGGGGAGGAAGGGGCAATGCTGCGTCTGCAACACTCGATCGTTTCCTTCCCTTCGAAGGATTCGGGAAATCCTGTCCCAGCTCTGGGCAGGCTCTGTGTGTAAGGTCCCTCTCCCTGTGTCCTGAATGACCCACTTAAGGGAGGCTGCGTGCGCCTCCCCGCCTCCTGAACTTTCCTTAGCAGCACGCTGCCCCCAGGTGCAGGCCCAGTCACCCCGCAAGGCCATTTCTGCTCTGCTTCTCCTCAGCAATGAAAACCTAGGGACTTGCTTCTTCTGGGGCACCAGCACGGCAAATGCCAGGATTTTTAATTTGGATTTAAGTGCAATTATGGTTCCTCATTTCGATGCGTCATTAGTCACATTGCCCCTAATGAGAGATTGTGCATTTTTCCTGCCAGCTTTGTGGCTTGCTAATAAAGTTCTGCGACGTGCAAATATTGATAGACGATCATGGAAGGCAGGGGTGGGAATTGCGTGCTGCTAATTAAAAAACTCCCCCATGATCTTGCACACACCTCCTCCCCAGGAAATTATCTGGGAGGAGGGAGGAGACGACACAAAGCAGTCTTTTCAGTAACAGCACATGGGCTGCTTCTGAACCCACTTGGTCCAGGGCCAGAGAAGCTGTGGGGAGGTGAGACTCGGCCCAGCACAGAATCTAGGTGGGGTGTGGGGAGGGAACAGTAGCTCAAATCCCTGGCCATGTGGCCAAATAAATGTCAGTGTGTGTGTGGGGCCTGGCTGGGCCTTACACCTGGTCTCGTAACTTTCTCTCGCCAGCCTGGCAAGGCTGGTGGGGGATGTTCCTGCAGAATGGTGTCGGAGGGCAGGTGAGAGTCCGGTGGCACCAGGTGTGGACATTCAGTGTGTTTGGGTTTAGGACTTTCCATTGGAGAAGATTTGTGACTGTCACAAGACCTGGCCAGGAAAATAATATGGTTTGGGATCTTCACCTTTGAGTGGAGCTGGGGTGACCCCCCCCCCCGCCCCCACCTAGGGGATGTGAGCCAGGGAGGCAGGGGTGCCCTGAAGAGGGGGATCACCGTGGTTGGGGAGTGAGTGCTGGGCGAGGGTATGGGGTGGGGGCTGTGGCCTCTTTCTCTTTTTAGTGCCTGGTGGTAGGGGGCTCCACCTGATCGGACCCCTGGCTGGGCCAGTTTTTAATGCCTCTGGTTAACCCAGGCCATGATCGGGGCATCCAGTCCCATTGTACGTCCCTGGTGAGACTCTGCCACTCTTCCGGGGCCTCCGTGGGAGGGTGGGTCCCCCCACTTCTCCCCGCTCCATGCCCCTTGGTGACCTTGGCTCACACTCAGGTCCTCTGGGAGGCTGTGGGAACAGTTCTCAGCTGGCCTGCGGGTCTCTGGTCTGGCCGGCGGGCACTGGGGGTGTAAATTGGAGAAGTGACTGCTCAGATCTGTGCTTCCTGGTGTCCCCCTGGCAGCCTCCGTGGGGTGCCTCCCTAAAGGAGCCTTCACGCCATGTCCCACAGACTCGAACAGGCCACTGCTGTGTGGTCCCTGAGCCAAGGCCTGTGAGGCCTGGGGGTCTGATGGGGGTGGAGAGCAGAACCCAGGGAGTCGTTGAGGCTGGAGACCCTATGAGAAATGAGGGGCCTGGGCTGTCGGGAGGGGAGCAGGGCGTGTACAGATCCCCCTGAGCTGGGCAGAGGGGGCCTGATGACCTGGAGGAGGGACCCCAGGCGTGGTTGCTGCACCATCCTGCTTTTCCCCCTGGCCCCTGCCAGGCCGGCCTCCTCGCCTCCAGGGTTTGTTTGGGAAACTCAACAGCCTGGTGATTGATGGACATTCCGCTGCATTTTGTCTGCCCATCAGGGTTCCCTTGGTTCCTTTGAAATGGAAAAGGGCGGTTGGGCCAGAAATGCCACCCCAGGGTCCTAGTGACACCGGGGCCGGAAAGGCCTGCTTCTGCTCAGCAGGAGCAGGGGGCCTGCGTGGGACTGAGCGTGGCCCCTGGCCCTCTCCCGCTCTGGGTCCCAGACCCAGTTTCTGGGGGGGTTTGCTTTGCCCTGAGGGAAACACCTGAGGCCAGATATGTGTGTGTTCATTCATTCTTTCTTGCACTCATGCATTCATTCACGCCTCCCTCCCTCCTAAGCGTGCACTAGGCATTAGCTATGAGCCCAGCTTGCGCTGGTTCCTGTGGATACAGAGGGGTGAGACCCAGGCCCACATTTGGGAGCTCTTGTCCCACCGTGGAGGCTAATGGGTAACCCGCGCTAAGCACTGTGGCGGGCTCACGCTGCGGGGAGCCCCAGCACCTGTGGGAGGCGGGTGACTCTCCCGCGGACGCAGGCCCCAGGGGCTGGAGAGGGTGTTCCCTAGGCCTGATGTGCAGGATGCTGGAGCAGAGGAACGAGGGTCGAGGGTGGGAGAGCCCTGCACTTGTTCACTCATTGCTCACCTGTTCATTCAGCCGCTCAGCAAACGTTTATAAAGCATACAGCGCGGAGAAAAACGAAGCCTCTGGCCTGGTGGCGCCAGCACTTGAGTGGGGAGAGGGATGTAAAGAGCTGCTAATGGTGGCAGTGAGGACCGAGGAGGGTAGGCAGGGAGGGAGGGTGGGTGCGAGGGCAGGGCTTCAAGCAGGTGCAGGGAGCAGAGCCATCCGGAGGACCCGGCAGCGTCTCGTCCAGCTGAGGGAGCAGCGTCCCAGGTCGTGACAGGGACAGTCCTTGGTCCCCTCAGCCAGGCCCGTCACCTCTTACCTCTCCCCCTCTCTCCCTGAGCAGGCAGGCCCTGGAGAGTTCCGGACGCTTCGGAAAGGCTTCTCCCCGTACCACTCAGAGTCCCAGCTCGCATCCCTGCCGCCCTCCTACCAGGATTCCCTGCAGAACGTAAGTGCCCTCCCCCAGGACCCCACGGCTCCCGTGTGGAGCCAGCGCCGCCTCCGAATCCTTGGTCCACGTTCCAGTGGAGGGTGAGGCTCAGACCAGCTGGCGACCTGCCGGGGGTCCCGTGGACAGGCCGTGGCTGGGCTGGGATTGGGACCCTTGTCTTCTGCCCAAGCTGCTTCCAGGTCAGGCGGGGGCAGGGGGTCAAGGCTTGTGCTCACAGCCCAAGTGGCCCTCCTCCTTCCCCCACCTTCTTCCCCGACCCTCCCAGGAAGAGGCCTGGGCTCCCCACCCTCGGAGCCTTGTGGGGGCCCAGCGTGGTGGTGAGAGGTGGAGGCCTGACTTGTGGTGACATTGTGGGCAGTTCAGGGCATTGTCCGGAGGCCCTGAGAGCGGCTGCCCAGGCCCAGCTGCTGTCCCTCTGCAGCTCGTCAGCCTGTGCCACTCCACGGACACGGCAGGGAGAGGACGCCCGGCTGGTGCTGGAGCTGGGGGTGGGGGCTGCGGTGTTCATATGTGCGGGGTTGTGTCTTCAAATTATCAACAGAGGGCCTCCAGGGCTATCCTGGGCTCTGACCTGCCCTGAATGGGAAAGGGAGGGGCCGCGTGGGGCCGGCTCTCTGGGAAGTGGGTGCCCAGCTCGGCCCTGCTCCCCGTGGGTCCGTGTGTCTGTCATCCCTATGTGACATCTTGCATTCAGAATACGCAGATCTATAGAAGCAGAAAGGACATTAGTGTTTGCCAGGGGCTAGGAGGAGCCGGGAGTAGGGCTAGATTGCTAATGGGGATGGGGTTTTTTTGGGGATGATGAAAATGTTCTACTGGGATGATTGCACAAATCTGTGAATACGCTAAAATCCACCGCCCAGGAGCACTTACTCTCATGCGCCCTGTAGACGATGGTAACCAGAACCCCAGCGGTCACTGAGTATCTGCTGTGGGCAGTGCGTGCAGGGAGCATAAACCTCTCCAGGCGCATAAGCCCTCCAGCGAGGCAGGGACCCTGGCTGTCCCCATGGGACAGACCAGGAGCTGGGGCTGGCCCGAGGCCGCTCTGCAAGGTGGGCAGGTGGGCCTGGCCTCTCAGCCGGGGTCCTGCCCTCTGTCTCCCTTCCACCGCGGCCAGCGAGGACAGCCTCAGGGTGCCTTTGCAGACCCTCTCAGTGCTGGCAGAAGTGGGCCGGTGCCGCCGCTGGCTGCCGGCCGGCGCTCTGTTCTTTCTCTTCGGAGGCCTCACACCTTCTCCAGGAATGTAGCTGCTGACGCTGCGCAGGCTGCAAAGCCTGCCGATAGCAGAGAATCCAAATATTTATCCAGGAGCCCTGTGGCCGAACGAGGCTCCAACTGCTTCGTGATGAAGGGCTGTGAACAGCCGGTGACGCCTGCTCAGGGGCTGACTCCACTCCTCCATGCAGTCTGATCATCTGTGGGAATCCTGACGCTAATAGTTATGGAGTGCTGTGCGCTGAAGTCCTCTCCACGATCTGCAAACTGTGAAGTGCTGTGCAAACCTGGCTGTCTCCTGTGATGTGCCAGGCCTGTGGGATGTGAGCAGAGGGGGCTGAGTTGGGGCTCGCTACCCCCAGGCCTCTCTGGAGATAATGCCGCACAGGCTTGGCCTCTGAGGCCTCGACAGTGCTGATCAGTGTGGTCAGAGGGAGTGAGGGTTCTGGAAGGCTTCCTGGAGGAGGCCTTGGGAGGGGTTCCATGTACCTCACCTCCTTTCATCTTCTAGACTGCCCTTCTGCACAGTAGGGGCTCTCACCCCACTTCAGGGGGGAGGAAGCCAAGGCCCAGGGGGATGGGGTGGATTGCCAGGGTTGCATGGCTAGTATGTGCTGGTGCTGGGCCACCCTGAGCCTGGAGGCCAGGGGCCAGCATGAGGCTCCACCAGGGCTGGGGGGCAGGTCCCTGGGGTGGGTGGAGAGGGTTGGGGTGTCTTGAGGGAGGGGCAGCCTGAGAGGCTGCTGAGGCGGCAGTGGAGGGGCGGGGACCGAGGAGGAGGCTCAGATGCCCAGCTTCTTGGGGTGTCTATAGGGCATTGAGCCCTTGCTGGGCCCTGGAGTGCCTTTATCAGGCACGCAGGTCCATGGGGAGAGTGACGGCTTGGGTGGGGAGGACCCTCTGTGCTCTGATGCGGCCAGGGGCACAGGCTCTTTCACACCTGAGCGCGTCTTCTATAAGGCTACCCGCAGGTCCACGTGCCACAGGGTCCCAGGTGACTGTGGGTTGGGGACACCCCCTACCTGCCCGCCCTGCTGGCTGTCAGTGGAGGGGGCGATTTGTGCTCAGCAGCCTCCTGAGAGGAGGATCAAGTTTTTTTTTTTTATGGTGAGGACGATTGTCCCTGAGCTAATATCTGTTGCCAATCTTCCTCTTTTTGCTGAGGAAGATTGGCCCTGGGCTAACATCCGTGCTCATCTTCCTCTACTTTGTGTGTGGGACGCTGCCACAGCATGGCTTGATGCGTGGTGCATCGGTCTGTGCTTGAGATTTGAACCTGCAAATCCCAGGCCGCCGAAGCAGAGCACGTGACCTTAACCACTATGCCACCGCGCCGCCCCCGAGGATCAGATTTTTGACAGGCCCCTCGGGGAAGCTGGTCTTCCCACTTTTTTTTGTCCATTGACTTTATTTTTTAAGCATACAGTTCAGTGTTTTTAGTATCTTCACAGATTTGTGCAATCATCACAATAGAACATTTTCATCACCCCAAAAGAAACCCTGTACCCGTTAGCATTCCCTCCCCATTCTCCCCTCCTCCCAACTGCTGGCAACCACCAACGTACTTTCTATCTCAATAGATTTGCCCATTCTGGACATTTCATAGAAATGGAGTGATATAATCTGTGATCCTTTGTGACTGGCTTCTTTCACTCAGCATGATGTTTTTGAGGTTCATCCACGTTGTGGCACGTGTCAGTATTTCATTCCTTTTCATTGTCGCATAGTATTTCCTTGTGTGGCTACACCGCATTGTGTTTGTCCAGTCATCAGTGGCTGTACATTTGGGTTGTTCGCTTTTTTGTCTGTTGTGAATAGGGCTGCTGTGAACATTCGCGGACAGGTATTTGTGTGGACGGATGTTTTCAATTTTTTGGGGTATACACTGGTCTCCCCACTTTTGCACCAGCTCTGGGGCCCCACAGACCTGGGTTCGAGGCCCAGCCCTATTTTTACAGCTGTGTGGCCTCCGGTGAGTCATTCAGCCTCACTCTCATCTGTAAAATGGGGATGTAAAAAGGTCGTGTCTGACCAGAGGGTTGTTATAAACGCCCGTGGGCTGCGCTGCTCCAAGTGGGCGGGCGGGAAGCGGGAGGTGTCACTGGGCTGATCCAGACTGTGGTCCTCCCCACCGTGGCCGTGGGGCCCTCAGGAGTGTGCGGTGCTTGGGGGTGCCCTGGAGGTAACAGTCCTGACTGCGTTTAATCACTCCTTACACTTGTTATTTGTGTAGTGGCGGCTTCATTCACAGGATTCCACAGCTACACTCGCATTGGCAGCCTGGTGAGCTGGCCGGGACAGGGCTGGATTCCCCAGCCTACCCGGGCCACTCCTGGCTTCCCTCCTGCCTTTGCTCGAGGCAAAGGGAGCAGGAATCGGCCCCCTTGCAGGGCAGGCAGTTCTGGGAACCCCAGGTATAGACAGGACCTGAGGCGCGAGGTGCCGGGGCCTCCCACGGCTGTATGTGTGTGGCTGTCGCCCCCTGCTGGCTAATGCGGGAGTGCAGCCTTCTGCCTAAGGTTGGGCACCCGTGTGTGGCCGCCTACCACCTGTACCCCGTGCCCCCAGAACAGTCCCCACCTGCCGGTCCCTGTTTGGTTCCCCAACGTGACAGACCTGGCCTGGGCACCAGAGGCTGCTGGTGTTAGGAAATAGCGTCAAGCAGAATCCAGGGCTCTGCACACACCCTGGGACACAGGGACTCTTTCTGCTGTCCAGACAGGGAAACCGAGGCACAGAGTGGGTCGGGCTCTGCCTCGGGTCACAGCCAGCAGAACCTTGCCCAAGCCCAGCTTTCCCAGACCCCTGGGGCCAGCAGCAGGTCCATGCCAGGCGGGTGAGTAGGGAGAGTACAGGGGGGTGGGCTGCTGGTGGCAGAAGGTTCTGGGCCCTGAGGGTGCCTGCCCTGACGTCTGGCTAGGCAGGATTCCAGGGTGGTGGCCCCATCAGCCAAGCCCCCTGAATCTGACCTCTTGGCTCCTGTTAGCCCTAGGGGGCTCCATCTGTGTAGGCCTCCTTGTCTGTGAGCTCCTCCATGTGGCCCTGAATCTTGAGTCCAGCCAGGCCTCTCTGCAACCTGAGGCAGAAGCCCTGCACCCTGGCCCACAGCTGCTGGGGCCAGTGACCCTTTTTGGCGAGAGGCTGAGGGGCACTGGGCAGACGCTCGGCCTCTGATGCAGGTGGGCAAGGAGCCAGGAGGCGGGATCCTCTCCTCTCCTGGCCTTGTCTCCTGCCCCAGGCTGACGTGGAGCTGGGAACCTAGTGCCAGTTGGAGTGTTTCCTGAATGAGGTGGCATCCCCCGGGTGGCTGGACAGGGCTGGGAGGCAGGGCTCAGGGCTGGAAGAGATGCCCAGTTCTGGGAGTTCTAGGTCGGGGGAGGGAAGGCTTTGAAGTCAGGCAGGCTAGGGTTCGAGTCCAGGCCTTCCATGTCTCCCTGGGTGAACTGGAAAACAGATAATAGACGTTCTACGTGGGCTGTTTGGAGGAGCCCGTGGGATGTGGCTGGGGGCCGGGTGCTGCCCCTCTGCCCTGGCCCAGTCCTCACGCCCCTCCTCCACTCCCGCCTTTCCTCCTGCTGGGTCCTGGCCCCACAGCATCGGGGACCTCTCTCAGCTGCTGGTCACACCTGTGGCCGCCGCCTGGGAGCCAGCCAGGGTGAGCTAAGACGTGTGATTGCTTCCTACAGGGCCCAGCCTGCCTAGTCCCCGAGCTGGCCTCGCCCCCTGCCGGCTACAGCTCTGCAGGACAGAAGCCTGAGGCGGTCGTGCACGCCATGAAGGTGAGGCCCCCCGGATCCCTGGTGCACTTTGGGAGCGTGGGACCTCTGACCGCACATTTGCCCTCTCTGAGCCTGGGGGCATCTCAGCAGCAGGGCAGGGCTTTCATCGCTGTGTGGGGGCCTGGGTGGCCGTGACTGCCTGGAACACTGAGGGGGAGGGATTTGGAGGTGCCGGGTGGCAGCAGCAAGTGTGTCCCCTGTCTGCCATCCCTGCAGCTGAGGAAACTGAGGCATTAGGGAGGTAGAGGGCAGGCAGGCGGTCCCCCAAGGTCAGCTTTAGGGGCAGGCCTGCAGCTGGAACTGAAGCTCAGGTCCCCCAGCCCAGCCTCTCCTCTGCGGGCAGCTGCCTCCCTCTCAGGGCCCCTGGGTGCGGGTCCCGACAGGCGCTTGTTTCCCCTGGGACAGCTCACACACCTGGAGCGCATCTCCCACTGCTGCGCCCCTCATCTCTTCACCTGTCCATGCACCATGGACACCACACACGTGTGCATGGACACAAGCTCACAGGCGTGGGGGCCCGGTGCACGTCTGCACAGACACACCACACTTGCACCTGTGTGGGCCGTGACTGGGACACACACACACCCACACACACCCTACATGCATGAGCCTGTGTTGTCCTCGAGTCCTTGTGCCCGTTAATCATAAGCCAGGGGCTCTGGGTTGGAGTCCACCTGTGCGAGTGTGGTCCCCACCCAACCTGTCTGCCCTGCCCCCAGGTGACTTGTCCTCAGCTCTGCTCCCCGTGTCAGTGGTGACACGGGGATGCTGCTTCCCTTGTGTGGTGTCCACAGCGTCACTGGGGTGGGAGGAGAGGACACAAGGGAGGAAGGATGACCTGCCCCTCAGGTCTCTCCATGTCCCTGATGCCACGACCCTGGTGGCTAGGGGTCCCCAGCTTCCGTTTGCAGCAGGGGAAGCTGAGGGTCAGGGTGACTTGCCCGGTGGCATCTGCCCCTGACCCTGGGACCTGTTCCCTGCAGGTCCTGGAGGTGCACGAGAACCTGGACCGGCAGCTCCAGGACAACTGTGAGGAGGACCTGAGCGAGAAGGAGAAGGCCATCGTCCGCGAGATGTGCAACGTGAGGCGCTTCCCGCAGCCTTGGCGCGAGGGAGGGCATCCTGGGCCTGATCTGGGAGAGTGGCCACAGGCTTCCCTGTGTGGGAAGGGCTGGTGACCTGGAGGGCTGGGAGGAGGCACTGGAGCCTGGGGAGCCCTGGCCTGTCTTCACTGCACACTGCGCCCGCCCCCCCCCCAGCCCCCAGAACAGCGTCCCTGATCTCTGGTCTTGTTCGCCCCTGGTTCCCCGGTGTCTGGCTCTGGCCTCCCAGCTTGCTGGTGCCCCTGGTGGCTGCTGGCCGCACAGGTGGTGCTCAGACTGGAGGTGCAGGCAGGACCCCTCTCCTCTGTGGGCCCAAGGCTGGGGCTGCCTTTGCTTCTAGAAGCTGGGCTGCCTCTGGGTCTACCTGGGAGGGAGATCTTCATGCCTTGACCCACCTGGCTGATACGTGTCATTTCTTTGGACCGTTATAGGAGCCAGCAGGGAAGGGCGGTTCGGAGGGGCTGACCTGGGCCTCACTCGGGGTGGGGGATGTTCTGAACCCCGGCCTGTGCTGCCTCCTGGGTCTCTGGGCTGCACCGGACAGCTGTGAGGCTGAGCCTGCACGCCAGCGGTGACCTGCTCAGGATGGCAGGCATGGTGATGAGGGTGGACTTGTAAAGACCTGATCTGAGCGTGTCCTGGCCTCATGTGGCCTCAGTTTCCCCTCCCGGCCCCATGGCTCTTGGGACGTGGGTGATTTTGAAGAGCAATGAGGCAGTATGTGTGCACAGGCCAGTAGGTGGGCTCAGGGTAGGCCTTCCACTCACATCTCGCCCCTCCCTACAGGTGGTCTGGAGAAAACTGGGAGATGCCGCCAGCTCTAAGCCCTCCATCCGGCAACACCTGTCTGGGAACCAGTTCAAGGGGCCTTTGTAGGGCTGTTCCTCCATGGATGTGGACTGGCCCTGCCTGGGGGTCCCCAGGGGGAGTGTCAGGCCCCAGACATGGGCAGGCCCTCATGCCGAGCCACTGTCTTCTTTTTCTGTGGTGAATTGTACATAGGAAGCTGCCCACTGTGGCCCGGCTGCCATGGGTCCAACATGCTGACGGCCCGGTTTCCATCTCCCGCCTCTCACACACCAGCAAACTGGGAAGACGGGACGCTGCTGACTGTCCCCTGCGGCAGAGCGGCCTGGACAGCCTTGTTCCCGCTCTGGGCTCCACTGGCGAGAGACTGAAGGCTGCCTTACCCTGAGATGCCAGGGCCAGGAGTCATCCCAGGCTGTGCCCAGCTTTGATGGAGGGGCACCTCGTCAAGCCCTCCACGCCCCTGGCTGCCACCCGCACTGGACAGAGGCCACTGGCAGCTGGACCTGATGCAGGGGGCCCCACTTCTCGCCCACCCGCTGTGGCTGAACGCTGGCTCACCGAGCACTGGGTCCCCTGGAATATGGACCAGGAAACTCACCGTGTCCAGGGCTGGCTGGCGGCTCTGAGGCCCTTCCTCTGGACCCCGTGCCCAGGCCCCCTGCGGCCAGCTGCTGCTTGTTTTGAGAGTTGATGCCCCCACCCCCAAACACACACTCTCTCTGCAGTGTCCCCTCGCCCTGTGCCAGGTGGTGTCCTATCTTGGGTTCCTCCTGCCCAGTGCCTGAGGCATCTCCATTTCTGTGGTTCACATGACAGGCCAGGCCTGGGTGCAGGTCCTAAGTCACTCAGCCTCTCTAGGCCCCTGGTGGAAAAACGAGGTCTCAGAGGTTCTTTCAGCCGTGCTCACCGTTCTATGCCCATCAGCTTTAGTCAGCATTCACAGCACGAGCCGATGGGCTCCGCCTGCTGGAGAGGCCGCTGGGCAGAGCTGAGGCCCAAGCGGAGTTCTGCTGCCTTGCTGCCTCATCACGGGGGACGCTCACCTCCCCTCTCTGAGCCTCAGTGTCCTCCGCTGTGGAATGGGCAGCATAAGGCCTTCCTTGCAGGGCTCTGGGGATCAAAGGAGACCTTCAGTGTAAATGACCGTGTATAAACTGTAAGGAGCGATAAGTCGATTTTTGTGTGTGTGAGAATGAGGCCCAGGACGGGTAAGTGACCTGTGGCACATTACAGATGAGATCCCAGACCCCGGAAGGAGGGACGGCCACCATCAATGCTGTTGTGACCGGCGCTGGCGTCAGCTTTCATCCAGTTCCTCATCCCTCATCCGACTCTGTCACTCTTCCCACAGTACTTAGTGCTCCACGCAGTGAGCACTTGAAGAGCCCAGAGAGGTGCCTTACATCAGGGAGGCCTCATCGGGGCCAAGTGAGGGATGGGGTCCAGGCATGGGGGTGGAAGTGGCCACCCTGTCCCTCTCCCCAGTGGGGACTCTGAGTGGTTCCTGCTGTTTGCCATCGGCACCCTGGGGTTGTACACTCAGGTGAAAGGCTCGCGGCCCTCATCGTGCCCAGGGGATGCTAAGTGGGTGCTGCTGACGGTGACAGGTTCGTTCCTCTTGCCCTGGGTGTGACAGGGAGCTATGGGCTCTTTCTGGAAGGAGCTTGCCCTCAGGTCAGGTGGTGAGCTCCCTGTCACTAGGGATGTGCACTTGGAGCTGGTGAACATCCTTGGTCATGGTACTGGGCCACTGCTGCTCAAGTGGGCAGTGAGCTGGGGGGCAGAGGTCCCCTCTGGGTCTTGGAGTCCAAAGAACCACAGAGCAGCCCCGAGGGGGTAGGGGTCTGTTTTGGGTGGGAGCCAAGTCTGGGAGCCCATTTGTCATGTGTGGATTGGGTTGTCTTGGCCACCAGTGAACACAAGCAATAAGTTAAGGGCTCGTGGGGTCTGCAGACCTCCTGCGAACGAACCCAGGGAAGAACAGCCTCAAAGGGCCCTTTCCCCTCGGGAGGGGCATGACTCTGTCCCTAATGCTGCAGTGGCTTCGGGGGATCAGGGGGAGCAGCATAAGCTGGGTGCAGACGTCTCCTTTCCACCCTGCTCGTGTCCTTGAGCCAATGCTGCACGAGGATGGCTTTCTAGGACAGAACTGTACCTGGGGCAGTCATCTTGCTAATGTAGTAAGCTGTTAAAAAGAAGCCAGCAGCACCTCTGCCTGACCCCACACGCCGGGGACATTGGGCAGCTGCAGTGGGAGCCGACAGGCTGGGGAGGGTCAGGGGGCCTCACCACAGGGGCAGCCAGGGGCCAGCTCAGGGCGAGTCCCAGCCCTGCCACTAACAGAGCGTGCACGGGGGGACACGGGGTAACCCTGCCCCCCTGGAGCCTTAGCTCTGGAAGCTCATGGTGGGGGTGGGGTGGAGTGTTGCTGAACTTGGCGTCCTTTCATAAAGGCCCCTTTCTGTTTTACAAACTGATTCTCGATCCTGACGCCCAGTGTGACACCTGTGCTGTGGCTTCAGTTCCCACTGTGATGGATGCCACCCTTCCAGCCTCACCCCAGGTGGCCAAGCCCATCCTGGAAGCGGAATCTGCTGAGCACATTTTTTAGGGTGGCACATTTTTATCCAGAAGTTATTAGCTACACATCAGTGTTTAAAGAGAAAAAAGTGACCTTTCATTTTTTTTTTTTTTCCTTGACAACTTGAGAGGAAACAAAATACATACTACTGATTTTTTTTTTTTTTAAGATACAGACTAAATGCATGACTGCAGAGCGGTAGAGGTGTATATTTTTCATAATGTGGGGAAGTATTTGTGCTGCTTTCTGGAAACGGGCTGGAACGTCTGGTTCCTGTCCCCGGCCGGCAGCCATGCTCTATTTTCTGTAGAACGTGAGGCCGTAAGAACGGGCCAGCCCCTCCCCGGCTCCAGGCCGAGCTGGGACTCCTGTGCCCGTTTCTACCTTCTATTGAACCACTTTGGGAAGAGAAAAGAAATAGAACTTTTTGATAGTGTGGTAAAAACATTGATTTGAACTATTTTAGTAAAAGGAGTAACAGAATTGTGATAGTGTATACTTTGCGCTAGATAAATAAAGGCTCTTGGCAAGCCTCTGCGGTGGCTGCGCAGTGCTTCTTTGTCTTGGGCAGAGGGCTGTGGCTCCTGGGAGCACCTCAGATGGCTGTCCAGTGGGGCACGAAGCCGCTCCCTTAGCAAGACCCAGCCCCTCAAGGTGGATGGGGGAGACCCCCAACTGCTACTCCAATGGCCTCTATCTAGTCACAGGCCAGAAATGGAAAGGATTTCAAATCCAAACCCTGGTCTGACCTAGGAACCTGTGCTCTATGCAGGGACATTTGATGGTTCCAAACCAGTGTGAACTCAACCGATTCTTCCAAAGAAAGCCGGTGCAGGCACAGGATGTGGGAGGGTGCTGCCCTGAGAGATGAGAGGTTAGGGTTGGCTGGCAGTGGGGCTAGCTGCCAGGCCTAGGCCTCTCCCAGGCAGCGTTCCTCCACTGCCCACTCCTCGGCCCTCTGGGGCCAGAGGGAGATCTGCTTCTGGACTTCACACCCAGGGGGGCTGCTTTCCGCCTATAACAAAGGGGTAGTTTCACAACTGATTTTATTTGGCTAACTGACTGAGTCTCATTTGTAACCAAGATGCAATTCACAGTATGTTATTACATTCATACTTAAAAAATATATCTCTATGTACAGGAATTTGCAAATCGATGTAAATATACATTACTTTCCAAGTACATTTCTCCCCTTCTCCCTGGAGGAAAAAGAAAAAGGCCATCCAACAAGGCGACTCCTTCAGAATAACTTTAATACAAAGGAGTAAACATCTCTAAACCAATGCAGTGGCTCAGAAGCCCTGCTGGGTGTCACGGAAGAGAATGTCACAGAATGAAAGTGGTGACAACAGCTTGACTTCAGATGGAGCGGGACTATTTCAAATTGAGTATCCAGGAAAAGGAGGCACTGATTTCTAGAAGGAAATTTACTCCTTACTGAAGCTATTTATTGAGCCAATATGGCTGGTTAACCTTTTCACTAGTATAAAGGAACCCAGTGCAGGCCTCAGACAACACCAGCTGAAACCAAGGACACAGTCTGACCCCTAGGCTACCCTGAACGCCGCTGTCCCCGTTCTCCAGATGTGGAGGACCGCCCCAATTTCATTTCATGGGTTTGGTCCATTTCTTCCCATACTGCAACTGTTTAGCACATACAAGGTACCCTGCTGCTTACCCACTTAAACTGCTCTTTAAGTTGATTAGAAAAACTTTTGTTAAAAAAACAAAGGGAAAAAAGCGTCATGTTATCTCATCCAGCCTGCCCGCCCCAGCCCCCCGACTGGAGGCATGCCAGGTGGCGGGATGGGTGGGGGCACAGGTGGCTGTCCTCCAGGGGGGACAGCTGGAGGTGGGTAGCTAGCCGGCGGCAGGCCCAGGCCTGGAGGAGGGTGAGGTGGGACTGCGTGGGTGGGGGGCAGGCGTGGGGGTGGGGGCGGGAAGTTGGGGTTGTAGGTTGGTGGAGGTGGGGGGTAGCTGGGAGTGGGGGGAGGAATGGCAGGTGGTGGGAAAGAGGTGGGGGGGGGGGGCACAGGCGGTGGGGGCGGGTTGGGGGGGTAGACGTGTGGGTGGTAGGGAAGGTGAGCTGGTGGGCCATAGGCTGGGGGCAGGGCGCCGTAGGAGGGGCCCTCGGTCTTCATCATGGACTGCAGGCTCTGGTAGCCCTCTCCGGACATGTAGGAGCTGGTGGTGGACATCCCAGTAATGTAGTTGGAAGGCGGCGGTGGTGGTGGCCGGTGTGGCAGCGGCGGTGGCTGGTGCACGGGGGCCGGGTGGGCCGGAGGAGGAATCTGGACTTTGGGAAGGTCACCGGCATCCACAGGGCCCGGTGGCTCGGCCTCCCCTAAGGCAGCCGCAAGTGGGGGCTTCCGGTCTGCAGGGAAAGACAAGTCACTGCCCAGCCCTACGAGGGCTCCCATGGCATTCCCAGGGCTGCTTGTGCAGGGGCGTGTCTGCTGCTTGCCGTGGGGTGGGGAAGCCCTGTGTCAGGAGCCCCACACAGCGGTTCTGACGGCCACCCCCCGGATTCCTGGCCCCCATTACAGCAGGTGGGTTGCTGCTGTTCCCCCAAGGCCATCTTCACAGAGGAGCAGTGAGCAGCTGTCACCTTCATGGTCAGACAGCAGAGGCCCGGGCCAATGTCCAGATGCCATCAGTGGATTCACACAGGCCTTCACCGCACCACCAGCTCCCCTGGGTCTCCCTCCCTCAGCCCTAACACACCAGCCACAGGCAGTCCCTGCAGTGCAGACCCCCTTCCACCCCAGGCCC